AGAATCTTGTAAAGTGGGGAAAAGTCTTCTAAGTGCTTTCTTTCTTAATTAATATGATAATCTCACATGCAAATAAAAAAATACACTCAATTAAGGAGACAACCCATATCCAGTTAGGGTGTCCATTCTTTCCCTGGTTAGAGTCACTCAATTAACATGTGAGACTGCCTACCAGACACAGGACTAGACTATTGGAACACAATGATGAGCAATACATCTTCCCAGTCCTTGTGGCGACTGTAGTCTACTTGGGGAAATAGAAAAGTTAGATACCCTGGGATTTTTCACTTCAGAAATCTGGAGTGCTAGAAAACATTCTTATGGTAAACACTTAGAAAGTCAGGGTAAAATGTAAGGAAATATATGACTGAACTTGTAAGAAGATAATTATTTCAGGGTCCAAAGTGAATAGAGAACTGAAAACCAGAGAGGTGAGGATGAGAGCAGATGATGTATCTACCCTCAGGGTAGGAGAAGGGGGCCTTAATCCCAGCATTTTAAGCATTGTAGGACTCATTTAATGTCCGGAAGGGACTACACTGGGGCATGAACACTAGGAAGTGAGAATCACTTGGGTGAACCTTAAAGGCTGGTTACCACAAGCCATCTGGCCAAGTACTAAACCATGACCAATGACAAGAGAATGTGGATTGGTAGGGGAGAAAAGAAGTAATACCAGAATCAGTTCCATAAATAAGAACTTGTTGCCCCAACCTGCATTTCCTTCCTTGCTGTGTCATGGAAATTTTTTCCTCTTTTACTGAGGTATAGATATCTGCCTTCAGTTTCTGGTACAGGACTCCTAAAATCCCTTGTAATTTCCTAAGTTACAAGTAACTAGGAGTATCTTTTGTTCTAATATTTGGTCTTGATCACAGTTCCTAATACAGAGTTTCCAAATCCCTTGGACTTTCCCTGGGTGATACCAGTGTTTTATTTTTGTTCTAATGACATCACTCTTACTGCTTCTTGACCTTCTGGCTAAGATCAAGTGTAATAATGTCACTTTTGGTGGATTTCTTGGTGGAAACTAGTCACCAGAAATATCAAGATATAATTAGAAGCTTGGAATTTTCAGTCCCATCCTCCAATCTCCATAATGGAAAGAAAGGCTGGAAATGGAATTAATAATTGATCATGCCTATATGGAGGCATATGAAACCTTTATAAAGATTGCAATAGTATGGAGTTAGGACAACTTTCAGGTTGGCGGACATGTAGAGGTGCTGGGAGAGTGGTGGACCCAGAATGGACATGGAAGTTCTATGCTCCTTCTAGATGTTTTCCTGCATCCTTTATCACAGCTTTTATAATAAACTGGTAAACAGTAAGTAAACTGCTTTCCCGAGTCCTGTGAGTCACTCTAGCAAATTAACTGAACCCAAAGAGATCTGTGGGAACCTCTGGTTTATAACTGATTGGTTAGAAGCACAGGTAAGAATTTCATCCTTAAGCTTACAGATCCCAGAATCTTGTCCATGGCTAATGCTGGGCCCAATACAAATAGTTCTAATTTTTCATCTGAAGCAGGGTGGGTGGGATGGTCTTGTAGGACTAAGCCCTTCATCTGTGTGTAAAAGTTGAGTTAAATTGTAGGACATCAGTTGACGTCATAGAGAACTGCTTGTTGTGGGGGAAAAATTCCTCATATCTGGTTTCACAAATATGAATGGTAGTGGTGTAAGAATTAAAGACAAATAGGAAGACTGGGTTTTTCCTTCTCAAATTTACATACAATAACATGCATAAAGTCAGACATATTTTAAAATTATCCTTTTCTTTCCTTTTGTCTCACTCTAGAATTATGGATATATAGGTGGATGACAGTTAAATTTGTCACTTTGTCCACAAGTTACAAAATATGGAGAATTATGATGAAATCAGGGTAAGAATGGATGTCATAATAGGACATGGGTTTGGAAGGAATTCAGTGTATTTTTTTGTTGCATATGAGATAGTTATGCTAGGCAGAGGCATTTAAAAAACTGTACATAGTATGAAAAAAAGTGGGAAGATGTTGCTTGGCAACCCACAGTTGAAATGCAGAGTACATCTGTTGTTTTTCTCTATCAGCATTCTATCTCCTTCCTTTGGAGAATGACTCCCCACCCCCACCCTCACACACTGCACATTGACTTGGTGGTACTGTCAATCACAGTTCTCTACACTTCCCTAGTCAGAGGAGGGGATTCAATTCCACCTACACCAAATGGAAACATTTACTCTTTAGTGGGAGTCAGGACAGGCAACTTGAAGCTAATTCATCATTCCTGGGTAGTGTCCTTTCAATTTTATTTTTTTTTAAGAAAGTGGGTTTTTTTGTTTTTTTAATAGAGGCATGTTTTATTTATTTATTTATTTATTTTATTTGTTTGTTTGTTTTGTTTATACATGCACTGGGTACAGTCAGAAGCGCGGGAGGGTGAGAGAATCCACCAGAGCCAGAGCGGGGAGCAGAGCAGGCAGAAGGACCGAAGTACACTGCTGAGGGGAGCAGCGGGCAGCAGGAGAGGCCTGCGCACCATGTGGAATCCTCCTCCGGTGGCCGGGGAGCAGCCGGGGATCGAACCGGCGCTGCAGAGGCTGCGGGCAGTTTCGCAACCCAGCGCTCAACCGCTGCGCCACCGGGGAGGCCCAGTAACCTTTCAATTAATGAGAGTTTCTGTTATCTACATATCCAAAATAGCCCTGATTCCTGGTTATTTTGATACTTGGCTGTTCAGATTATCTTTTGATTTTTGTAAATTTTTACATTTTTCTTTCAATAATTTCCTTTATATTCCCCCTTAAGTTAGTTACAGCTGATTTCTATTGCTTGTCACCAAAAGTTTAATTAGTAGCTGATTGAGCTCTTAAGAGGGATGCCAAACTCAGAAGGGCTTTTAATAAAGAGGACCCCAAAATAAGATGATATATAGTGATCCAGCTTTTTCATATATGTGGATAGCAATTTCCTCCTCCTCCAGACACACCTTCATAGTGTCTGGATTGGAAAAGGTTTCTGGAAAGATACCAGTATTTGATGATACTTTGTATATGGCTTTGTAGCTTTGTGCTACAAAATATCTGCAGTACCATTCACATAGATTGGGATGTCAAAGGTGCCCTTCTTGTGCAGGGCAACAACTACTTGCTCACATAGTCCCTGTTACTGATCTGACTTTTGTGGTCAGACTCAGATAGCCTCCTCAGATGTTTCTTTGAGTGCATACTTCAACTTCCATGCAATCAGTCAAAGCCATACCAGTCCATCAGATAGATGGATTTGTATGTGTTTGCTTCAAACAGTGGGCAGAGATCAAGACCTTTTTCTTAGGAGCTTCCTCATAAATCACTGAAAATTTATAATCTCCCCCTCCCCAGTTTATATGCTGAAGCCTAACTCCCAGTGTATTTGTATGGAAGATGAAGACTCAAAGGAAGGAATTTAGGTTTCACCAGAAACTGAATGGGCCCATACCTTGATTTTAGACTTTCTAGCTTCTAGAACTGTGAGAAAATCAGTATCTATTTTTCAAGCCACCCAGTCTATGACAATTTGTTAGGGCAGCCTGAACTGACTAAAAAAGATTTAAATAGATATGTGGAGGTGGAGTGAAGGGATTAATGAATTTCACCCATCAAAAGCACCACCCCAAAATGTATCCAATGTAGCCACCTAGTGACATAAAGAAATTAAAATGAATTGTCTTTTTGTTTGTTGGGGAGAAAGACAGTGAATGAAAAATGTGGAAGAGAAGACAACCAACTCTAAGTCTTGTGTTTTCTTCAGCATATAATCCATAAATATCTTGTCACGACAGCAAAGCAACTAGTACTAACACGCACACGCACACGCACACGCACACACACACACAGAAGTGACTAATACGAAAATTCCAATCAAAACTACAATGAAATACACTTCATATACCCACCAGCATCACTATAATCAAGAAGACAATAACAAGTGTTAAAGAGAATTCAGAGAAATTTGAACCCTGATACATTACTACTGGGAATGTAAAAACTACTGCAGCCTTTGCAGAAAATAGTTTGTCAGTTCCTCAAAAAGTTAAATATAGATTTTATATGACCTACAAGTCTACTCCTAAGTATATACCCCCCCAAAATTGAAAAACAGGTTCCTATAAAAACTTAAGTTTCATAGCAGCACTATTCATAATAGGCAAAAAGTAGAAACGACCTGAATTCCCATCAACTGGTGAATGAATAAACACAATGTGGCATATCCATAATGACATAGTATTCAGCCAATGAAGAGAATGAAGTACTGAGATAGGCTGCAACATGGGTCAGTCTTGAAAACATTCTGCTTAGTGAAAGAAGCCAGACACAAAGGCAACAAAGGAATCATATTGTATGATTCCATTTATAAGAAATGTGCAGGACAGGCAAATTCTTGGAGACAAAGTAGATTAGTGGTTGTCAGGTGGGGGTTGGGGAGATGGGGAATGACTGCTAGTGGGTATGAGGCTTCTTTTTTTGGATGATGAAAATGTTCTGCAATTAGATAGTGGTAATGGTTCACAACCTCATAAATATACTTAAACAACTACTGAATTGTAGACTTAGGGTAAGTTTTATGATCTGTGAGCTATATCTTGATAACACCAGGAAGTTCAGCAAACTGACTTTTTTTAAAAAAGATTTATTTTTATACAAGAACCAGGGTACAGGCCAGATGCGTGGGAGGGTGAGAGGATTCACCAGAAACAGCAGGGAACAGAACAGGCAGACTGACGAGATACACTGCTGAAGGGAGCAGCGGGAGAGACAGGAGAGGTCTGCCGCGCCATGTGGGACCCTCGCCAGCCATGTGGGATTCTCGCCGGGATGGATCTAGTGCTGCAGAGGCTGCAGATGGCTTCACAGAGCAGTGCTCAACCACCTGCACCACCAGGGAGGCCCAGCAAACTGACTTCTATAATTAAAACTGACCCGGCTCTCTAGTCATTTGGTAACACCATCCAATTTTGTATTTTCTATCAAAATATTAAGAAAGGATTACTCAGAGAACAAGGAGATAGAGCTAATTATAAATTATGAAACATTAATTTTTAAAAAAATATATGTCACGTACAAGGTTAAATATTGATGCAATACAAAGTTCCACAAAATGCAAGCACTTCCTACTATAGAAAGTAAAAGTCTCCTACAATCCCATTGTATGAGTGAATTATGCCAGCATAGTTTATGCTAACATCTCAAATGCCTAATAAGTTTATTTTTTACTTATGAAATCCAAAACAGGATTCATCACTGATCAATAAATTATTCTCCCCTAAGTGATGATTCAAGGAACCAACCTCCTTCCACCTTGTGTCTCTATTTTGACTGAACACAATGCTTCCAAAGTTGCAATAGAAGGAAAAAAGAGCATGGAGAATTGTCCATAATTCCACTGGCCAGATTTCCGGCACATGGCCACATCTACCTGCAAGGGAAGTTGAGAAATGTAAACTAATGAGTACAAAGAAAGAGATTTGCTGAACTGTTGACAGATGTCTGTCACACCTACCCCATGGATTGCTCTGTCAACAGTTTAGAGCAAAGTCCTCCAACTCCTTTGATATGCATATATTTATATAAGATAGCACATCTTGAACCAAAATGGAGTCATACTATGCATACTACTTACTATGCATAGGTAGGCAGATTCAGATATAACCTGTACTTATTTGTCATTCACATACATTCAGAATTGAGAATACACTGATTCAAACCACGGTAACCTCAAGCAGACATTACACACTGTTATTCAGATATTTTTCATGCCTACTCAGTAGTCACCCAGAACGCTGTTTCACATGCTAATCTGTGTGGGTGGTTTATCCCAAGTAAGAACAGTTATATGGGGAGTTGTTTACAGCTCAGTTGAGGTTTAGCTTCCTGTTGAGTTACCTTCTTCATGCCTTCTTTACTCTTTCAAAAGAAAATTCATATTCCTTATTTTTATATTGTTATAAACAACTTCATATGCAGATAGTCATTTCTCTCCTGCCTACAAACATACACACATATACACAATTTCATTACCTAGTTCCTTTCCACTCTGAGACAATCACTGTGATGTGTTCAATAAGCATTTTTGTATTTGTGTTCCTGCAAAGTGTATTGTTTTGTGTACATATATTTTAAATTTGCACAAGTGGTCTGTGTTTATAGCTTATTTTGACTCTTTAAAAACAGGGCCGTTTTTAAGTTCAAGATCCAACCATATTGTTAAATGTACAGCTAATCCATTGCTCTCAACTGCTATACATCGTCTCAGTGTACACTCACTACCTTTTATGTATTTGCTATTCATATGAAAGAAATCCAGATTTCTCTCTACAACTCTGCCCTATAAATAATGCTGCAATAAACATTCCAATTCTGGCCCCTTATAGGTGCATGTGTGAATTTCATTGAGCTATAGACTCAGGATCCCATTTGATAGGTGTAGGTATACAGATAGAATCTTGGATTGTGTGCCATGATACTACACTCCAGAATAGTTATACCAGTCTTTTTTATCCCTGTGAAAGGTTCCTATTTGCCCAGCAAAGTTCACCATCATCTAATTTTTGCTGTCTGAATAACTATAAAGCAATGTATCATTGTTAATTGATATTTTTCTGGTTATTATTAAGTTTAAACATCTCTTCATATGCTTACTACTCTTTTGAGTATATTACCTACTTGTGTACCTATTTTTAAAATTGGAGCTGTGTATTTTTCTTGTTGATGGGCAGGAGTTCCTTAACTTTTTTAGGTCAGGAATCCGCAAACTATAGTCCACAGACCAAATCTGGCTCACCTCCAATTTTTGTAAATGAAATTTTATTAGGACACAGTCATAATAACTTAGTACTTATGGCTGCTTTCCTGCTACAACAGTAGCACTCAAGAATTTGAATTATAAAGCTAGCTGAAAATGTTTAGTTTTATTCTTTACAGAAAGAGCTTCCAAATCCTACTCTACAAAGTAATCTCCTTTTGATATTTATACATGGCAAATAGCTCGTCCTTTTTGTCATTTGTCTTTTAACTTCATCTATACCAAAAATTAGATTTTTAATATAATCAAACCCGTCAATTTTTAACCTCATCATACATTTTTTTTTTTTTGAAGATTTATTTATTTATTTATATAAGCACTGGGTACAGTCAGAAGCGGGGGAGGGTGAGAAAATTCACCAGAGCCAGAGCGGAGAGCAGAGCAGGCAGACTGATGAAGTACACTGCTGAAGGGAGCAGCAGGCGGCAGGAGAGGTCTCCGCACCATGTGGGACCCTCACCCAGCAGCCAGGGATTGAACCAGCGGAGCAGAGGCTGCAGGCAGCTTCACAACCCAGCACTCAACCGCTGCGCCACCAGGGAGGCCCTCATCATACATTTTTAAAGTTAAAAAAAACTTTCCTGCCTGTAGGTTACAAAAATATCTTCCTACCTTTTTTTCATTAAAACCATAAGTTCATCTTTTTTGTTTAGGTCTTTAATGCATTTGGAGTCCACCTTTACAGGTAGCATTAGGGATTGAATATTATTTTTTCTCATATAATGAACCAATTTATCAAACTCCAGCCACTACACAACCTGATTAGCCTTTGTTCGAGTTTTAAATTATTATCTCACAGATCCAATTCTACTATTTATTGACAGCTCAGCAAAAATTAAGGTGAACCCTTATAAATATTTCCCTTGCCGTCTGGCATGATGTTAAACTTTATCAATGGAGAATGCTAGAGAAATAGTGGAGAAAAAGGAGGACTTTTTCTTTCTGTTCCTCCCCTTGCCTGGCTCTCGCAGTGTGCACTTTCTGTGGAACTGCACTTGCAGTACATGGCCTTTCCAGCATCTGGTTTCCACAGTGTGTAATGATCTGCAGTACCCAGTACCCAGCCGCCTCCCCTGGCACCCACTTGGATAGATTTCCAGCAAAGTCCAGTTGTGCAGCACCTTAGGGGCTCTGCTACCATTCAGTGATGAGATATGCCCTCTTCCATCCTTTCTGGATCTCAGACCAGAGGACGAGGGAGGGAGGCTCTTCCTTGGGCATTTGATCTTGCCCTGGAGGTAGTGGCTGTTTCTTACATCTGGGGTTCCTATATTTAGAGTTCTCTATTTCTTATGCCTCAATCTCCTGTTATAGATAATAGTTCTTTATATTAAGCATTCTCTGTTGAAATTACTATGTAGTTTCTCTTTCTTGGTTGGATTGACAGTCATATTTTCATTGATTTTACAGTGCACTTTAATCACATATTAAATTTCCATACTTTTACATAGGTATATCTCCTAGATTTCTATTTTGTTTTATTGGTCTAATTTAATTTTAATTGAGATAACAGATGCAAAGTATCTAGCTATTACATAGCATTTAGTAGGTATTCATTAAAAGGTAGCCATACTGATCATGGTAGACTATCCATCTTTGGTTTAATGTTATGGGCTGGAAGAAGGAAGGCAGCCCCAGTAAAGGAGTGGAGACCGTTTCTCAATTCAATCAATGTATGAATGAATGAAAGTCCAGAAAGTGCTGGATTAAGTCACTGCCTGAGCCACCATCCATATTTACATTCATGGATTCATTCCTGCAATGATTCTGAGAGATCTATTCTATAAGATTTAAATGTTATTAATCATATTAACCATAAACTTGTACAATGCAGCTTTATATAGTAACTCCAGTGAATATTCCAACTATTCATACATCTTTGTTTCTTTTACATTCTTGTTCCAAAAGGGGAGTTTCTTTCGCTATTTAAATATAACAGAGGGGGTCCTCCCTGGTGGCGCAGGGGTTAAGACGCAACCTATGAAACAATCCGCAGCCACTGCAGCACAAGTTCGATTCCTGGCCAGCCAGGGAGAAACCCACATGGTGGGACAGACCTCTCCTGTATCGCCCGCTGCTCCCCTCAGCAGTGTGTTTTGGTCTGTCTGCCTGTTCTGTTCCCCACTCTGTCTCTGATGAATCCTCTCACCGTCCCGTGCATCTCTGGCCTGTACCCCAATTCTTGTATAAAAATAATTAGACCTTTAAAAAATAAATAAATATAACTGAGGGGCCTTGCTGGTGGCGCAAGGAGTTAAGCACCACACTATGAAGCAATCCGCAGCCTCTGTAGTACGAGTTCAATCCCCAGCAGGCCAGGGAGCAACCCACATGGCACGGCAGACCTCTCCTGTCTCACCCACTGTTCCCCTCAGCAGTGTATTTCAGTTGGTCTGCCTGTTCTGTTCCCTACTCTGTCTCTGGAGAATCCTCTTACCCCCCATTTCTCTGGCCTGTACCCCAGCTGTTGTATGCAAAATAAATAAACATAACTGAGTTTATCTTTTATGTTTAGTTTTTTAACTTAAATAAAAATAAAATCTAAACAAATAGTAAAAACATCTCCTATTCTTGGAAGGGAGCAAATGTTCAATCTATCAAAATTAAGACATTTAGTATAAGTCTAATTATGAGCTTACTCACTTTTTTGAAATGCACAAAATAATACTTAAGTAGATTTTGTAGTCTTCAGAGATGTACATGATTTGTTCCTTCCCTTCCTGACGTGGAGTTATCCCTCCTCTTCAACCCGGACCAGACTTAATGACTCACTTGATCAACAGAATGCAAAGAAAATATTGTTGTTTCATAAGAAACATTGTAAGTTGCATCTGCATCTCTTAGAATGTTTTTTTCTTAAGACACTCCCTCTCAGACAGCCAGTTCTGGGTGCTAGCACACGCACAGACCACCTTGTACGCACTCTGACTAACAACCACAACTAAGTTCCCAGCTGAGCACTAACATCACCTTCCAGTTATGTAAATGAACCATCTTGAATATCTGGCCCAGTCAAGTCTTCACATGACTCCAGCCCAGTCACCATCTGTCAGCAATCATCGGAGACACCCCATGACTGCCCGATTGAACCTAGTCTACCCATTGCAGCATGGGAGATAAAAATTATTGTTTAAATTCACCAAGTTTTGGTGGTTTTACTCAGTAATAGATCACTGGGACAGAAAATGATGACAGAAGTGGTGTCACGCTGTGATAAAAAAAACTAAAACATGTGGCGATGGTTTGGTACCAGGTAGTGACTGGAAGCTGGAAGGGCCAAGATGACTATCAGTGAAGATGTGAAGGAAAGAAAGGAAGCTGTTATTTGTGGCTGGAGAAAAGGCAACTCTGGTGGTTATATGTAGAAAAAAAGTTCAGAAAAATGTCACCTGTGGTAAAACACAAAATAGAAAATATACTTAATGAATGGGTGAATTTGTCTAAGAAGATTTCTAGGCAGAATGTTCAAAATGCCAAGTGGTTTCTTTTAGCTGTCAATGATAAGGTACAGGGAGAGAGAGAAAGATGGGGAGAGAGAGATGCTAAAAAGGGAACTGTTCAGTTTTCTAAAAGAAGTTAGAAGACATATAACAGGCTTAAGTCAGTCTTTCTAGTGATCAAAAATTTCTCAAAGGGAGAATACTCAAGATAAAAATCAAGTCAAGCGTGCAGCTGCAAAACTCTTTGCTAATACTTTAGAAAGTTTTAAGTGCATGTTTCATGGATCCCTTCAAATAAATGAAGTGACTTCTAAGAACACTAGAATGCCTCTTAAACTCTTTTTCTTTCTAGACAAGAATCTTAAGTGTTTAAAAATCTTAAGGGTGCTTTCTATTACATACAGAATCTCAGATGAAGGTAGAGATCCTAATACCCTTGGCATATATTACAGAACCTCTAATATGTTTTTTTAAGATTTTGCATGATATGGACCCTGCATCTCTTTTACATCAGTCTCATATCACAGAATATAAATCTGTGGCCATTGTGGTATTTTCTCAGTCCTTTGATTGAACTCTTACACCTTTGGACCTTCATACTTTTTTTTTTTTTTAACATTTTGAAAGGACAGACTTATTAAGAAAAAGAGAAAGAAAAAGAGACAGATGCACCTGTAGAGCACCTGTATAGTGACAGGTGGGCAGGTTACCTTCACTCTTTTTCTCTCTGCTCACACTCCTCTTCCCCATTCTCTGGCAAACTCATACTCATTCTTCAGGCCTGAAATGAAATGACATGTCTTCAGAGTAACCTAATCTCCCCAGCTTAAGTCAGCTCATTCTCTTCTATGTTTCCATAATCTTCTGAACTTATGTTTGGCAGCATTTTGCTGCTGTAATTATTTTATCATGTTTGTCTTCCCTACTAGTCTATTAGATCCATAATAACAATATGTCCATTTATTCTCCTATTTATTCTACAGTGCCCAGTAGTGCCTGGCATGTAGTTAGATGCTCAAAAAGTATTTCCTGAATGACTAACAGTCAGGGAAGGTCACAGTAGCACTGACCTTTTGGCATAGGTTAGAATTGCCTGAGGCTACACCCCCACCTACATTCTTCCTTAAGGGAAGTTGTGTCAGGGGATGTGGAAGTACTCAATGACTTCATGCACTGTCTAGGACAATGTGACCATAGATGCGTCATAGTTTTACTTATTGGAGTGGAAAATTAGGAGAAACCTGAACAGCCCCTAATTGTGCAATAATGTGGAAATGGCTTCATACAAGTATTGTCTAATATATCTAATCCTCATATAGAGCCTTGCATAGGGTCCAACATGCAAAATGCATTTAAAGGGGGGCTATTCTACAATAGTTGAATGGGGGTTGGGGCAGATTTTGATCTCTTGGACGTCCACAATTTTTCATTTTCCCTCCCTGATTTTTCTGGCCTTCCTCCCCAAGTCAGGAAGGCTTTCCAGTTTTCAGCTCTAGTCTCTCTTTTAAAGACAGGGCACAGTTTCTGTTTAGTTTCCACGAGGCACTCCCAAATGTTGCCTTTGTTGTATTGTTGTTGTTAAACTGACTCAAGTTGGTTTTCTATTTCTCGCAATTAAAAACAAAAACAAAAACCTTAAATACTACTCTTGCAGTTTGAGAATCACTTACGTAATGGAAAGAGAATTGGCTTTGGAGTCAGAAAACAGGTTTCAGATCTAGGTTCTGACTTCAAGAAAGTTAACCATTTTCAACCTCATTTTTCTTTTGTGAATTTTTAAAAATCAGTAAGAACTCCAACAATCAAAAGAATCTATATTGAGCATGTTCTTAACAAATGTTAATAAGATAAAGTCTTATTAGAAGACTCTCCTACCCCCTCCTAATTGAAGTGGATTGTTGAATTCAGTGCAGCCAAAATGAGCAAGGCTGCCATCTTGTGGCAATACACTGACACAGTGTCTACTGTCTTTTAGCACAGTTGAAGCAAGATGTTCAATAACCTAAAACAAGATAAAATGATGGCAGACACACCAGAGAGAGACTGGAATGAAAATAATAGCTAAAGACAAGAAGCAAGGGCACTTCATCATTGAAAAGAACATGAGACAGAACTTTTCGAAACTGTCACATGTAGCAGAAAGGCCAGGGGAAGGAACAGAAAGAAGTGACAAGGAAGGAGGAAGTGAACAAGTTGTTAAATATATCGTTCAGGCCAGGGTTGACATGCATTTGCCTTGACATCTAAATTGATACTACCTCCCCCTTCAACAAACTTCGAAAATCATTAACAAACACCGGATACCATAATCCTTATAATACCATTGTCCCAGGCAATTCAAACGCCACTCCTGTTTCTTAAGTCAATGTTTCATCTTCTCCTATACCTTATTATAATATACTACTGCTAGCAACTGTATTAATGACGAGGCCACTGCACATCAAGGGTTATTATCACTCCACTTAACACCAAGACTGGAGTCCCCATTTCTGTCCAATCCAATTCAGAATCCCATTCTGAGAATCTGCTTTAAAGGGTCACTTCTACTACCAAATTTTTTAGACTTAATTTTCCCCCAAAGTAGAGCCTGAGAAAAGGCTTGCAAATAGGTAGTTTATTTTCAGAAGTGATCCAAGAAACAGGAATGGGAGATTAGGAAGGACAAAACTGGTAAACCAGGAAAGCAGATCTGAGGATAAGTGACCCAGAAGGTGACTGCCTTCGCATGTGGGGCCTGAGTCCCTGGGAGAAACTCTGAGTCGGTGCATTATGTGCCTCTTCATTGTCCAGTCAAGGGGAGGAAGAGCTCCTGTCCTTCATTGGCCAAGAATTTCCCCATTGCTGGATAACTCCCTTGCACTCTTAAGTTTGTACTTTCAGGTTGACACACAAGACAACATGGCTGTGCAGGTTTCCACAGACATCCCAAGAAGTGAATTCCAGGTAAGAAGCCCTGGGCAGAAAACAAGAGCCATTTGGAGGAGCAATAGCAGCTTTGGACTGCACCTGGTAGCCACAGTAATGGCTTGAGCAGAAAGGTGAGCGAAGGCCAATGAGCACAAAATTAACCAGTGTGTGGTAGTGTTTTACCCACAGCCAAATTAGATGAATCTCAGAAGAAAAGAGTAAATGTGGAATGGCAGTTCTATTATACTGAATACACTATTATTCTATTATATCTAATTAAATATTTATCTTTATATCTCTGTGATTCTAAAAAGCCTATTAAAAAGGGATAAGAGAATTGTTGGCATGCAATAAAGGAAGGAGGATTGTTGATATAGCCAGAGGATTTCTAGTTCATTTTATTACCCAAAGAAGGAATGCTTCCATCAAAAGATAGGAAAAGATCCACTAGATTGGAAATTAAGGCTACCATTAGCCAATTTGGGCTTGTCATACTGGCACGTGATTAAATAAACAAAAAGTTAACTCAGTACTGTGCTTGGACCAGTTTGTATAGGCTCACAGGAGTCAACTGAATGCATGTATTAAGTTTTCTATTGCTACTACCACAAATATAGTGACTCAACACAATATAAATTTATTATCTTACAGTTTTGGAAGCCAGAAATCTAAAATGGGTTGTATAGGGCTAAAATAAAGGTGTCAACACAGCTATGTTTCTTCTGGAGACTAGGAGAAAATCTGTTCCTTATCTTTTTCAGATTCTAGGGACAGCCCACATTCCTTGCCAGCATTACTAAGACCTTTGCTTTCATTGCCACTTAACTTTTCTGACTCTGATGCTCCTGCTTTCCTCTTCCTCTTATGAAGATCCATGTGCTTATATTGGCCCTACCTGGATAATCATCCCATTTCAAGATTCTTAATTTAATTAAACCTGCAATTCCCTTTTGTCAGGTAAGGTAGTACATTCATAGGTTAGGTAGTACATAGGTTAGGTAGTACATTCATAGGCACACTTTTCTCAACTCCACATTCAGAGACACAACGTCAATAGATTAAAATTGGCCATGTTGGGAGTAGTTATACTACAGAATTTGGCAAATGCTATATATCAGGGTTTTTGCTCCTGGAGAGCCTTTTGTTAAACTTTACCTGCATATCTTTGATTGTAGTGATTGACTAGGATGAATAAGCCTATTAAAAAGTGATAAGAGAATTGTTGACATGAATAAAGGAAGGAGGATTGTTGACATAGCCAGATGATTCCAAGGGGACCTCCTATTCCTGCCCTGTTTGGTGCAGAAAATAATGGGAATATTATTTAGGCAGTGCCATCAAGGTCTCCAATCCCTCAGGAAATAAGATTTGGGTCATCCATAGAAAATTCAATTACAACCCCAACTAGAAGCAATGTAATCAAGTACTTAGGTGGAAGTGATATATACCACTTCTGGATCAGGGACTTGAAGAAGATGGCATCCCACCTTCCTGCCCTTTCTCTTCCTATCACTATGACCCCGATGAACTGAGGTGTTGGTTGAAGACAGAGAATATGGAATGGATAGGAGACATATGAGGTCAAAATTACCAATTAAAAGTCTAGTGATCAGTAACAAAGATTTCTTACTATGTCAATTAAATATTTTCAGATTGTATCTAATTGTCTTCTCCTTTCCCCCCTCACCCCATATCCATATATACACAAGTAGTAAGTTTTAGTGGTTCAGTTAATTTATTTTTTTAAAGATTTATTTATTTATACAAGAACAGGGGTACAGGCCAGATGCGTGGGAGGGTGAGAGGATTCACCAGAGACAGAGCGGGGAACAGAACAGGCAGACTGACGAAATACACTGCTGAGGGGAGCAGCGGGCGAGACAGGAGAGGTCTGCCGTGCCATGTGGGATTCTTGCCGGTCGGCCAGGATTGAACCAGCGCTGCACAGGCTGCGGACAGCTTCACAGTGCTTAGCTCAACCAACTGTGCCACCAGGGGAGGCCCTTGGTGGTTTACTTTAAGCTTCAGTCCATTGGCTACAGAACACTGAGGTAGGCTCATCATTTAACTGGAGGAGGGCTGAATTTATTCAGAAATCCTGGACATGGATCTAGATGAAGTAACTGATGAGAGTTGATTGATTCCTCTTTGCAGTGGGGGTGCTGGGTAAGTGCAGTGACAGCAATTTAGGTTATAAAAAAGGGATTGTTTTAGTGAGGATTTTTGTTGTGTTTCATTTTTTGAAATATATAAAGAAGGGCATATGTTGCTATGGGGCAGGCCCAAGGGCTTATTACAGTGGATATCTAGCATTCTTATTGGGCTCTCAGCACCTGCACCCCTTTCATCTATTTGGGCAATGCCCCAAATGAACAGAGAATGCACCTAACACCATCCAAACTGAGACCCAGGCATCCCATTCTCTTTAGTTTGGGTTCCCTGAGACATCTGAGTTAGAGAAGGAAAAACAATGGCTAAAGAGTGCATTAGTAAGCAGGTCACTGCTATGGGCAACTGGAGCTCGGTCCCTCTGGGACCCTCTATACACTATGAAATGTGCACCTTGGAAGTATCCCTTTGAGAGATGAGGAAGCTGAAAAATTTGTTGACCATTCCTTTGATTCTATGAGACAGAAAGCACGGGAAGTTTTGTGTGGTTTCTTGGTGACCTTTAGCTTTCCATTTTTCTGATTTATTAATTCTTTTTTATACAAGAACTGGGGTACAGGCCAGAGGCTCGGGAGTGTGAGAGGATTCACCAGAGACAGAGCGAGGAGCAGAACAGGCAGATGACCGAGAACACTGCTGAGGGTGGGCAGTGGGCAAGACAGGAGAGGTCTGCCCCGCCATGTGGGAATCTCCCTGGCAGGCCGGGATCGGACCCCTGCTGCAGAGGCTGCGGACAGCTTCACAGCGCTGGGCTCAACCGTCTGCACCACTGGGGAGACCCCTAGCTTTCCAGTTTTAGATGCTAAAATTTCCCTTTCCTCTTTCTTTAAACATGATGTGTTGGCTTGGGTTTCAACAACCCACACTTACAGCTATAAGGGTAAGTTGAAGTGAATCTCAAAGATTTTGACTCTAAGATTACTGGACCAGTAAAACTGCCTACCTTCATTTTTCTTGTGACAAAAATATCCTTTGTCCACCCAATGTCACCACAGCCAAAGGCATTCATATTTATCTAGTCTTACCTGCAGCCACCGGCACAGGTCTGTACTCTGAATGAAAAGGGTAGCGTTATAAAGAAGCAGATGCTATGGGAAAACTTTGTGGTAGGGCAGTCATGGTGGTGGTTCTGGGGGCACAATGACATTTCAGACATTATGCTGCTTCCTGATGGCCTTCACCAGGTACACAGGCAATAGACTCTGTATTGAATAATAATTAATACCCATTGAGTTTTTGCTGAGTCAAGTATTTTACAAATTTTCTTTACTAATTATCCTATCAGTCATTCAAGATGGATATTAATATCTTTCTATGAGGTTAATTGACTTGACAAAGATCTCATGGTTACTAGTGGCAGAGGCAGGTTTAGATCAGAGTCATGTCAAAGCCAGATCTTAACCACTACCTAATATTGCCAATATCTCTTTTGCCAACTTACAATTTTTAGACCTGAGACCCTAATTCAGGCTGGAGCCTGGGGCCCTATCCTAGGAGCAGGGAGAAAGATGGCTTCACATAGATTGTTGCCTGTTGTCTGTCATCTGCCCCTTCTGGCAGGGTGATACAGGATCTGCCCAAATGCAGACAGGCTTGAAGCCAGGCTGCACAGATGTAGGCAAGCCTCTGAGCCAGGCTGGGAATGGCTCCAAATGAACCGCCAGACTTTGGTGTCTGAATCTCTGAGAGATAAGGAGAATTTGGGGTGGCACCCCCAGAGACAAAGCGAAAATTCAGGCAAAGAAAAGAAAGTAGCAAAATACATGAAGAGTGAGAAAATCAATCATGTGAGAATCAATCAACTCTGTTGGCAATTCTTGCTTACAAAATATTAACTGCACTCTTTTCTTTCTCTTCCCAAGCTGGATTTTGAAGTCTAAGACTCATAGTCCCCAAATACAGATTTCTATTAAATAACTCTAATCTCAAGGAAGAAGTTAAAAGATAATTGTACAAATCACAATTTAATTAGGATTGTGATGACTGCTGGAAGAAAGTAATATTCAATGGGAGTGTGTATCTGGAGAACTAGATCCAGTCTGAAGGTTCATATTTAAATCCTCCTCTTTCCATTTATCTTCCTCCTTGTCGTCATTCTCACTATTCCCTTTATAATAATGGTGTCTTCAGCATTGCCTCCTCTGCTGCATCCCCATACCATAGTCTTGATTCAGACCTGTCTTCTTAATAGGTCATCCCACCTCTTTTATTTTTTTCTCCACTCAAGCCCATGCCCCACCCACAGCTAGAACTGTATTTCTAAAATGTGATCTGATCAGCTCCTCCTTACTTTCACATTAAGGTTTTGCTTCTTGACTGGCGTGCTTGTTCAACCCAGCCTTATCTTCTCTTCCTCTCCTACAGGAACCTCTCACTTCTGGAAGTTACAGATGCCCATCTCCATTGCTGTTTTACTCATGTGTGCTCTGAAATGTTCTATTCATCCATCTAAGCCCAGGAAATGAATATTCTGAATTCAGGGCACTCACTGAACCAGTGCCTGATGATATCTCCCCGTGCATGACTCACTGGATTCCGGGCATTGGGCAAGATCAATGAGAAGGAATGTTAGAACTCAGCAGTCAGCACGTCTTTTGATGACCAGCCCAGAGAGCAACACCTGCTTCCACACTAGAGAGTAAAGTCTAAAAGGGCAGTGACAGGGTGTATCTTGTGCACTACTTGACTTCTGGGTGTGCCTGGTACAAAGCAGCATGGTGCTTTGCACAGAGGAAGCACTCTATAATTTCTTCAGTGTATACATAAGTGAAGAAAAGAAAGTGATACACACTGCTCTGAAACTGCCTCCCCTGGAGTGACAAGTGTGTACCTGTTTAGTTTTTAAAAGAATTCCTAGGGGCAGAGGTTGTGATTTACTCATGCACATTCTCTTTACAAAGAAATCACTTTATAAAGGGGCTTCACACAGGTTACTGCTTTTGTTTCTTATTATAACCCCATAAATTATTACCCCCATTTTATAGTTGAGGAAACTTTCTTCCTTCCTGTTCCCTCCTCTCTCTCCCTTTCTTCCGGGATGCATAAAGTTTCTCTAATCCAGAAAAAAGGCTAAATGCAGAGCTGATTATGAGCACCAGGGAGGCTATTTGCCCTGGGCCTCACACACAAGAAGGACTCAAACCTTTTAATACTATGTCCGAATGTGTATGCTTGTTTTTAATGGATTTAAAATATACTACAAAATTTTGTGCCATATTTTACCAGGTGGTTTTTCTTTTACACATACTGGGAGTCATAAAATTGAGAAGTGACCTAGGTTCAGAGAAATGAAGTAAGGTGACCAAAGTCTGACTTCTAGTAAATTGCCTAAGCCAGGACAGGGACCAGAACATCTCAACCAGGGGCATCACTGCCTTAAACACCTGAATCCAATACGGTCTATCATAGGAGTTCAACTCACGGGATTTGGAGTCGTTAGTGGTGTTACCTTCCAAGTTCCAGCACTTAATTTTTATTCAGCTTCCTCATTTGAAAACTGGTGGCCATAATGGTACCTGCCACAGAGTTCCTATTATGCTTCTGAAAATACACTTGAAGCATTCAGCACAGGCCTGGCATGTACTCAGCCTGCAGTAAATGCTGTTATTATAAGAACTGTATTGGTTGAGTGAGTGACTCTAGCATATAACGTGTGCATTCAACTGGAAGCTTGGAGCTGTCACAGTCATTCAGCTGAAGGGGTGGGAACTGTGGCACTCGCCAATTATTTCTGGAAATAAATCTTTGTGGGAGGATAATCGCCGGTTGCAAAGAGTGAGCCTTGAGGGAACAAAGCTTGATCCCCACGCCCTAGCAGCACGGAAGTCTCCCCTGTGGGCCGCAGCCCGGGGCACTGATGCTGTCCAGGCCGGGGCGAGCTACCTCAGAAACCAGGTTTTAATGGCGTACAGCAGGGGCCCCCGCTCATCTTATTCTCGGGGACCACACCCCGAACGCTGGCAGGAAGGACTCCAGAACCGCGGGGCGGATGCTTCCGCGAGGCCCAGACCTGACCATCTATGGTCACAGAGCGCGCGGAGCAAACAGGAAGCGGGGCGACCTTCCACCTCCCAGCCCCGGGCGGAGAGAGCGGGGCGCGGCAGGCCCGCCAAGAAGCGGGGGGCTGCCCCTCCCGCACACAGGTGCCCCCAGAACCCAGTCCAGAACAATCGCCCACCCACGTCACAGACGGGGAAACCGGGGGAGGCAGGCCCAGAGAGGCGGAGCCCAGCCTCCCCGACCACGGACACAGCCGCGGGGGATTTCTACCTTCCACACAATCCAGGACCCCTTCCAAACCGGGGTGTAAAGGGACCGTGAGGCCAAACTGACAGGTGAATTAACCACTCATCTGTTCTCTTGTTCTGGAGGTCGAGCTTAGCCACTCACTTCGGCTCTTCCCTGGCCCGGGCGGTTCCGGCTTCTGGAGTTGACAGAGGGGCGTGGCCTATCCTCGGACACGCCCCCGGGCCGCTTCCGCCTCGGGGAGGAGCTCTTCTGAGCGTGCCTGCGGGCCCTGAGGATTCGCTCTCTGGCCCGGAAGGCAGCTAGGGGGCGGAGTCACGCGCGGGGCGCCCAGACGTCCTCCTCGCCGCGGCTCCGGCGGGGCGTGGCTGCCGGCCGGGCATTTCCGGTGGGGGTGCCGCGCCCAGTGAGGGCCCGGAAGTGGGTCGCGCGAAGATTGCTGGGCGGTTCTTGCCGGAAGTGGAGAGCGGCTGATCGCAGTCCTGAGGTGAGGCAGAACTCTGAGGTGAGGGTGCGCGGCCAGTAGGGGCCGGGGTCCCTCCCGCGGCCTGCTGGCACCTGGAGTTGCTAGTGTCCCTCTGGCCTACGCTCGTGTGGTGAGCGGTGCTGCGGGGGTCGGGGTGGAGACTCTCAGGCCGACCCGGGATCCTGGGCGCGGTCTCTTGAGGTGGGGCCGGGGTGACCAGCGGAGCCTGGCTCTCCTGGGGAGGCCCCTCGCTGGATTTCGCTGTCGTGACCCTCAGCCCCTGCGGAGGCCGGACTCCTGTGTTGTCCTCACCGAAAGGAACCCGCGAGACCCTAGAGTCTTCTCTGCCCCCATGTCTCCCCCATCTTACGGATGGGTAAATTGATGCTCGGAGAGAGGAGGCTGGTGTGAGAGCATATGGGGGGTAGGAGGACCGGCATCAAGACCTCAGCTCAGATCTTTCTCATGTTGTTCTCCTGGTTCCCCTTTCTTCCCTTGAGTGGTCTTCCGGTCGGTGTCGAGTCCGGCAGCTGCGGGTTACGGGCCCGCCGCTGCAGGAACTTTTTTTTTTTTAATGTAGCCTGTTTACTTTGCTTGGGAAGTTTTTAAAAAGAGAGAGGGGCAGCGTGTTGTACTTGCCTCAGATCGCCTCTCCTCCCCGCTAGGAGGGAGTTAACTTTATTGAAGGTGTTGCATACGCCCGGATCAGAAATCAGATGGCTCAGGTTTGGACTGGTCAGATACTGCCATATACCTTAGCCGTAGATGCCTTATATAACTTCTCCGAGCCTCGTTTTTCTCATCTTTTAAGTGATCTCTACTCAGTCACAGAATTAAATTCAGTGTAACAACTTGTGTTTATTCTGTGTCAGGTACTCTGCCATTCCCTGGAATGCAGTCTTGAAACAAGAAACTAGAACCGTCCTCATGAGCCAACAGTGTTTGCATGGACCTTTAAGAAGTACTTTTTTTTTTTTTTAAAGATTTATTTATTTATGCATACAAGAGCTGGGGTACAGGCCAGAAGTGTGGGGGGTGAGAGGATTCACCAGAGACAGTGTGGAACAGAACAGGCAGATTGACTGAAATACACTGCTGAGGGGAGCAGCCCGTGAGTCAGGAGAGGTCTGCTGCACCATGTGGGTTGCTCCTGGGGGAGGGGGGGTGTCAAACTCGTGCTGCAGTGACTGCTTATAGCTTCATAGGTTGCGGTTGCCTCTTAACCCCTTGTGCCACCAGGGAGGCCCCCCTTTAAGAAGTACTTATAAATCAGTGTTAGGAAGATAGAATAGTGTGCTATGGAAATAAGGGATAAGGGGCTCAGGAAAACATCCCTACTGTAGAAGCAGTTTAAGAGGAATGTTGAGGATGAGTAGGAAAAAAGCTAGAGTGGTAATGGGAACATATTACACAGAGTTTCTATCAGTTGAAATTCTTTGTGGGGATCCCTGTTCAAGTGAAAAAAGGGGGGACAACCCAGCAATTCATTGTTCACCTAATACTGATTAAACCATTGGTATGTGTGAGGCACTTAATAAGTGAAACACTGTGCTGATGGCTAAGAATACCGTTGTGCTCATGGAGTGGAGGAGAGAAGAGACTGAAAAGTAAATCAGGGGTGGCTCACAGTGTCAGTGCACTTTGTGAGCACAGGGCTGTGAGAGAATAGGGGAGGAGTACCTGAGCCAGACTTTGAGGAGGAAATGGGAGGTTAAGTCGTGCAGGATTTATTTAGTCTTACAAAGAATCTGGGAAAGGGATTTCCAGACAATACAAATGCCAGGACATGGAGATCTGGTCTTGTGAAAGGCCATGGCTAGTTCATTGTGGCTGGAAGTTGGGTAATGCTTGAAGAAGTGGAGGAAGTAGGAAGTGGGGAGTCAGATATGAAGGACCTTGTAAACCATACTGAGGAATTTGTGTTTTACCTAGAAGACAATGGGGAGGCTTTGATGGGTCATATGTAGAAAATGATGTGATCAGATTTGTGTTTTAGAAAGTTTAGTGTGTGGAGGGCCTCCCCGGTGGCGCAGTGGTTGAGCGCTGTGTTGCGAGGCTGCCCGCAGCCTCTGCTGTGCCGGTTCAATCCCCGGCTGCTCCCCGGCCACCAGAGGAGGGTCCCACATGGCATGCAGACCTCTCCTGCCGCCCGCTGCTCCCCTCAGCAGTGAACTTCGGTCCTTCTGCCTGCTCTGCTCCCCACTCTGGCTCTGCTGAATTCTCTCACCCTCCCGCGCTTCTGACTGTACCCAGTGCTTGTATAAATAAATAAAAATAAATCTTTAAAAAAAAAAAAAGAAAGTTTAGTGTGTGGAATGGGAAAGGACATTATGGGAAAGTAGACCAGTGTTTGGAAGCTGTTGCCATAGCCATGACTTGCGCTAAGACAGTGACTTGCGCTAAGAAGAGGGATCAGATTTAAGCACTATTTTAAAAGCACTATTTTAATTCATAGAATTAGAGGCTGTTTTTAGGAATGAAGAAATTGCCTGGTTTTCTGGCTTGGGGACCTGAGTAGTACCATTCACGGGATGGGTAATGTGAAAGAAGGGTAAGTTGGTAGGTTGCATGGAAAGAAAATGAATTTTGGGTATATCAGTTGCATTTGAGTAGTTTGCAGCATAACCAGGCAGCGTTGACTAAGCATGGTATCCCATCCAGAGGAAATAGCAAGAGCAAAGATGCAGAGGCAGGAGAGGGCTTATATTGTTCAGTGAAGTACTGGAGCCTGGAGTTTGTGGCAGATGATAAGAGGTAGATGTCTGCTAGGTTGTAAAGGGCTTTTGAGCCTTGTTTGAATGCATTTGGATTTTGCTCTCCAGCTAGCAGTTTGTTCATTGTGTAAGTAGCTATGTTCATGAAATATCTGTAGGAATGTCCCACCTTTCTCTTTTCCAGAAGTACGTCATCAATCAGGTAGATATATTTTATGTCTCAGAAGAATTTAAAATGGTGGCAGTGGAAGTACTTTGTCAGGTACACCCTGTCATGCAAACTGAAAATTGAGATTCAGTGAGTGTATTTTTGCTTTGAAGATGTTAACTGTTTAGTTTGTAAAATGTTTTATTTTCAGCCTGAGGGATGATCTTTTTTTCCTCACCCCTTTTCTTGGTTTTACACAAATTTGTTTAATTAAACATTTTTTTAAACTAGTACTGATCCTTTAAAACGTAACTTCTTCAAGTTTTTTTGTGAAGTATTGAGTCAAAGATTCATTTTACTTAAGCCAGCAAATGCAGTGTCATTGGAAATTCAACTCTCTGGTTTGAAATTTAATCCTGAGATTTAAAATCCAAGATCCTCAAGTCATATTTTACTCTGTGCTAGTGATTATTTCCTTTTGAATTGTCATCATCATCATCTTTTTTTGCTTTCTACTACCCTGGCTTTCATACCTATTCTTCAACTTCTTCACCACAACCCAGATGAATTTCTAAAAAAGAACCATTTCATCTTGTAGCTCTTCATTGATTTCCTGTTCCCAGAGAATTAAGTCTAAACTCCATTGTACAGTTTACAAATTTCTTTTTTTTTTCCTTTTTTTTTTTAAAAAGATTTATTTATTTATGCATACAAGAGCTGGGATACAGGCCAGTGATGCGGGGGGTGAAAGGACTCACCAGAGACAGAGTGGGGAACAGAACAGGCAGATTGACTGAAGTACACTGCTGAGGGGAGCAGCGGGTGAGTCAGAAGAGATCTGCTGCACGATGTGGGTTGCTCCCTGGCCGGCCAGGGATTGAACTCGTGCTGCAGAGGCTGCAGACAGCTCCATAGGCTGTGTCTTAACCCCCTTGCACCACCAGGGAGGCCCCAGTTTGCAAAATTCTCCACAGTCAGACCCTTACCTTAGTTTTCATTGGATGGTACAGATTGATATTGTCCTAAACTACTATATTAGCATTTTGGGGGCAACCTTCTGTGCTTCCATTTTGTTCCTTATTACTTTAGAACAGGGTTTCTCAGCTGTGGCACAGTTGACTGACGTTTTGGGCAAGAGAGGTGCAGGGGGTGAGAGGATTCACCAGAGACAAAGTGGGGAGCAGAACAGGCAGATTTATTGAAATACACTGCTAAGGGGAGCAGTGGGCAAGACAGGAGAGGTCTGCTGCACCGTATATGGGTGAGCTCCTTGTTTGGGGATTGAACTCAGGCCTTAGTCGTAATAGCCCTGGAGACTTAACCCCTAGGCCCTGTAGTGTCATCTTTTAATTAACACAGCTACAGCATGTAACTACTACTACTTGATATACCATCATGTAAACATAATAAGAATGAAGGTTCTAAAAATATCCCTCAATTAAGGCAGCTTTGTTTGCCTCGAATTGCCAGACCTATAGTGTCAAACTTTTCCGTTCTACTGGAAAATAGTTATAGTTGAAATGTTTAATGGAAGGAATGAGCTTGCTTTGTTTTTTTCCTCCAGAGGTGATTAAAATTCCTATATTTAAGTTAATTATAGCCTTACAGTCACAGCTCTTTTCATATTTCTAGTTGTAGCTGAATCATGGCTAGGGACAAATGGCATCCTTGAATCTATCTTTACACATGAGAATGGGAGATGCTGTTCTGTTTAAAGCAGCTACCCAGCTGAAATTAGCAGTTTTTCTTTATACAGTGTAAAAGATGCCTGCTGAATTCTCTCATGCATTTAGTCTTCATTATATTCCTTAAATATGAGACAGGGGAACCCAGGCCACACAAAGTTATCTTTTTGCCCCAGACCATTGAAATAGCTAGTTCCCATGTCTGATTTCAGCTCGTATGCTATTTCTAACTTGACTCATTCCTGGAGCTTCAGATAGAGGACTGTATTTAAGAAGGGAACAG